CGGTGTTACACATGGTCTTACACATGCTTACACATGATCTTACACATGCAGTCACATGCTTACACATGCACTCTTACACACGGTCTTATGCAGTCTTACGGTCTTACACACGGTCTTATAATGCTTACACATGCTCTTACACACACAGTAACATGGTTACACATGCAGTCTTACACACAATCTTACACACGCAGTAGCATGTTTACACACACAGTCTTACACTCTTACACATGCAGTAGCATGTTTACACGCACAGTCTTACACGCTTACACATGCAGTAACATGTTTATACATACAGTCTTATACACGGTCTTACACACGCAGTCTTACACACAGTCTTACACACGGTCTTACACATGCTTACACACAGATGCGCACGGGATGCTCACCCTCACATGCACTCCGGGGGCCGCCCTTCCCGGCCAGCTGCCGCACGGTGCCTCTTTCCTGCCCAATGGGGCCTGCAGGCCTCATGGCTTCTCCTTAAAACCACATGATGAAGGAGGAAGCACAGCCAGGCAGATACCGACTCCAAAAAACCCCCGTGTACTCCCTCCGGCCAAGAATCTAGGCTGAAATCTGCCCATCCCTGCCACAGAGCCGCCCCGTGCTCAGGCTTCAGGGAATGGATAGTCATGTTGATAATCCCCCTGTGAGGGCACTGCTCGTGTGGCCCTGGCAGGGCCAGCCCCAGGTGGACGGTGATGAGGGACCCTCTGTTGGCTGTTGGGCCACTGTCTTGGCCGGTTTAGCACAGTGGTCCTGATCTGTGGCCTCTTCTCTCTGTCTCTCCAGACCCCAAAACCCTGGCCATAGCTTTGCTTTCTAGACATGGCTCTCTTGGGAGATGGTGGGGGTGGCCTCTGTTCCGGGATGATTTCCTACGGCCTGGGTGAGGGCTGCAGAAGAAGAAATCCACTGTGAGGCTGAGAGAGACTCAGCCCTAAACCGAGGGTTGTAGTGGAGCCCAGGGGCAGTGTGAGGGGCTGAGGTCACCGTGGGCTCCTGGCCAGCTCGGCCTCTGTCCCAGCCTGAGGCAGAAGCAAGGTTTCTTCACCTCCCTGACTTGTATTATGCGATCAAATGACTATCGCTCATACGTGTGTGTGACAAGACTCAAAGCGGGGCCTCTCTGTGAAGATCGCTGAGAACACAGACTCAGCTGGAACTGGCAGCTTGGCAGATTCTTCACGGGCAGAAAGGGGTGGCCTTGGCCCCGACTTGGGGTCACTCAGCTCCCTGCTGGCCAAGTCTGCCTCTTCCCTCCTGAGCTCCCTGTATCCCCACTCCCCTCCTTGCTTTTATAATTCCGTAGGTCTCCCCATAGAAATTCTAGAAATGATGGCCTCGGCACCCTGGAATGAGATCCCAGCAATCCCAAATAAAGGATGTCAGGTCTCCTGACAAGTCAATTGCATGTTGTTACACAGCCTGCATCTCCAGAGTCATACATGATCCTGGCCCTGCACGCTGACCTGCGAGAGAGTGCCTGCCGGAAATGCACCCCCGTGTCATGGAGGCCTGGGCAGTAGGGTTTGGGAACCTCAGTGAAAAGATGCCCACGGCCAGAACAAGCCTGTCCAGCAGGGTAGAGGACTGGGCAGCCTCCTGACCTTGCTGACCCTCTCAGGGGCATCCTGGCTGGAGCTCAGGGCAGAGGAGGGCTGAGCCTGATTTCCCGGCTCTGGTTGCCCCGGGGACCCCAGAGAGCGAGCGATTTATGGGCCCAGGCCCTGCCGAAGCTCCCGTGCAGGCTTCCTGCTTTCTCTGGGCTTTAGGGCTATTCTCTGCACCTCATTTTCTCACCGTGTTTTCTGCACACTAATTAGCCCTCCTCTCACCCACCCTTGAAAGAAGAGCTCCCTCTCCCCCAGCAACGGGGACAGCAAAATGAGACGGGCTTTTCCTGGAGGCTGTGGGCAATCGCTTAACCCCTGTGACCGCCGGGGAAGGGAGGCCGGGGCCCGATGCACAGACCTCCCTTTAATCAGCAGGAAACACTACCTTTCTCTCCTAAGCTGTTTGCTTGGCCAGTAAATTAAACATGCCCTTAAAGCGTTGATTTTCCTCCAGCGGGTCAGGGGTTTTGGGAAGTAGAATTCAAACAGAAAAAAGCCATGTTTTAAACAGAGCCCTGCAACGGATATGCACTTGATAGGGACACTGCCCCACTTCGGGCTCCAGCGGAACTCCCAGAAACACCTGGGGTTCTAATTCCTACTTGTGCTTCAGGCGGAGGCGCCCACGCCCGAGAGGAGTTAAGGAGTGCATGGGGGAGCTTTGGCTTCCAACCCGACTTTGTTTGCGCGCTCCGTGCAGTTACCAGTTCCAAATAATAAGATGCCATGTTAATTACCCCCCCCTCTAATTTACCTTTATGCTGCACACAGTCAGTGGGGCGGGGGTTATGGGGGTGTTCTTTCAAACCTAAACAACTTCAGGTCTTTAGGGTGGAGGAACAACAGCGGCAGTTCTGTGGCTGCGTCTCTGAAAGGATCCGCCGCGTCAATTAGAAAGGACCCGTTGGCCACTTAAAACATAATAATTACTTCTCTGAATGCTGATAAATTAAATAAGTGTTTTCCTTGCGACTTTTCCCCCCAAGACTTTGGTTTCTTTTGAAAGAAAGCATTTTGCTCTTTCTTGTGCTGATCTGTTTGCAACCAGTGTGAGGAATCTGAAGTCATTTTTCCTGTACTTAAAAGTTCTGGTCTCCTTGGAGGCTTCTGTGTCCCCAGCCAACGTCAGGGTGCGGGGCGGGGGCCGGGAGGCGAGGGCCAGTGGGACCGGGTCTTCGAGGCAGCCATAGAAGGAGGGGCTTGTGTGGAAAGATCTAGATCAGGTCAGGGTGATGGAGCTCACCCCACCTCCTGCCCATTCCCGCCTCTCCCCACCTAACTAACACTCACATCTGCCTTTTCTATGTTATCGAGGCAGAATTCAACCACTGTAAAGGGGGCGATTCAGCGGCACTGAGCCGTTCACCCAGCGGTGCGACCACTGCCTCTCTAGTTCCCGGACACTTCATCACCCCGAGAGGAGACCCGGGCTTCTCGCTGTCACCCCCACCCCAGTCCCCGAAGCCTCCCACCTGCGTCTGTCTCTGGGGGCCTGTGCCGGATGAGTCACCTAAACGCCGCCAGGCAGGTGTGACCCTCTGCATCGGCTTCCTACGCCGAGTGCCGCATGTCCGGGGCTGGTCCTGGCTGTGTGTGCCAGGGCCGCCCTCCTCCTTGGGGAGGGATGGTGCCACAGGTGTGACCCTCTGTATTGGCTTCCTACGCCGAGTGCCGCATGTCCGGGGCTGGTCCAGGCCGTGCTCCTCCTTGGAGAGGGTGGTACCATCCACTACTCATCCGCTCCCTCATTCCCTCGCAGACGGATGTTTGGGCTGTGTCTGCCTTCCGGCGATGGTGAATCTGCCACAGTGAACATTCGCCTGCCTGAGTCCTGGTTTGGCTGCACTTGGTGGAGAGCTTTGCTTTTCTTCCTGTCCAGACTCCTCCTCACCCTGCCCATCTCCCCCAGTGCCTCGGGCTACTCTCTGCTATAGTTTCAGCTGCACGCACACACTCTCTTGGCACCCACCTTCTGTTAGGACGGACCCCAAAGGTCTACCCCAGACAGACAAACTGGGCACCCTCTTACTGCTCAGCTCAGTGACCTGGGGCCCCGACTCTGACATCCGTGACCTCAGCAGGCCTATTCCTAGCCTGTGTCGAGATCATCAGGGAGACCTGGGACCCCATAACTCTGACATCCGTGACCTCAGCAGGCCTATTCCTAGCCTGTGTCGAGATCATCAGGGTGACCTGGGGCCCCGTGACTCCGACATCTGTGACCTCAGCAGGCCTATTCCTAGCCTGTGTCGAGATCATCAGGGTGACCTGGGGCCCCGTGACTCTGACATCTGTGACCTCAGCAGGCCTATTCCTAGCCTGTGTCGAGATCATCAGGGTGACCTGGGGCCCCGTGACTCTGACATCCGTGACCTCAGCAGGCCTATTCCTAGCCTGTGTCGAGATCATCAGGGTGACCTGGGACCCCGTGACTCCGACATCCGTGACCTCAGCAGGCCTATTCCTAGCCTGTGTCGAGATCATCAGGGTGACCTGGGACCCCATGACTCCGACATCCATGACCTCAGCAGGCCTATTCCTAGCCTGTGTCGAGATCATCAGGAACTTCCACGAGCCTCCCCAAGACCCAGCCAGCCCCACCCCAGGGATGTCCAGGCTGCGGCCTCAGTGTGGGGATGTCCAGGCTGCGGCCTCAGTGTGGGGATGTCCAGGCTGCGGCCTCAGTGCAGGGATGTCCAGGCTGCGGCCTAAATGCAGGGATGTCCAGGCTGTGGCCTAAGTGTGGGGATGTCCAGCCTGCGGCCTCAGTGTGGGGATGTCCAGGCTACGGCCTCAGTGTGGGGATGTCCAGCCTGCGGCCTAAGTGCAAGGAAGCAGCACTGAGCACATTTCACAGCCACCCAAATTCTGAGTCCTCCCAGGCACTTAGGACTTCTGCCGTCCGTGATTTCCAAGACTACAGAGGACATTTGAAATATTCCGGTGCAAATATTTCACCATCAGCCAGCCCTGGGTCAGCTGCCACGCATGACGGCTTCACCGGCTGTCGCCAAGCTTGCCAGGCACTGGCAGCTCCTTCCCTAGTTCCCTAAGGGCAGGACCAGCCGGCGCATCCTCAGGTGGCTGTGGGAGCCAGGCTGGGGGAGCCAGGGTGTGCTGGGCTGTGCCACCCCATCAGAAAGGTTGGCCCCAGTGGAGCCTGGCGGGATCCCATCCTCCGGAGCCTCTGACGTGGAATGATGGCAGCTTGGCTCAGGGTGGAGCAGAGGCGGCATATTCCAGGCAGGGGTGGCAGCCGGGCCTTCTGGGTCCCTGAGCACCCTCGGTCCCCATTGATGCCCGAGTCCCCGGCACTCCCTGAGCCGTACACCCCGGGAGGGGCACGTGCTGCAGAGGCTGACGCTGCGTTGTCTCCTTTAGGTGACGGTGACGTTGTAAATAATATGTATGAACCCGACCGGGACCTGCTGGCCGGCCACAGCGCAGAGGACGAGGCCGAGGACAGTGCCATGTCACCCATCCCCGTGGGGCCACCGTCCCCCTTCCCCACCAGCGAGGACTTCACCCCCAAGGAGGGCTCGCCGTACGAGGCCCCGGTCTACATTCCTGAAGACATTCCGATCCCACCGGACTTCGAGCTCCGAGAGTCCTCCATCCCGGGGGCCGGCCTGGGGGTCTGGGCCAAGAGAAAGATGGAAGCCGGGGAGAGGCTGGGCCCCTGCGTGGTGGTGCCCCGGGCGGCGGCGAAGGAGACGGACTTCGGATGGGAGGTGAGCAATCGCGCCTGAGCATGATTGATCACGGCCATTTATCTTGTGTTCCATCTATTTATAAAGCCAGGCTGAGCAGCCACTGCCCGAGGCGGGAGGCGCGGCCAGAGAGAGCGTTCAAATGTCACATTTCCCAGCCTATTTTATCCTGCAGCTCGCCTGACGGGACTCGGAAAGCATCAGAGGTCCTCGTGGGCGCCTGTCAGCCCTGTAGGGCACGCCCACTCTCTCCCGGAAATGTGTCTTTCATGAGCTCATGTCTTAAAACATCCCGTGCTTCCCGCCGGATCCCAGGCGTGAACGCGGCCATCGTGGCGGGGCAGGGAGATGCATAGAAAGTCCCAGAACAGGCAGCTGCACTCCAGGGCTTCATTCCAGGCCACGGCAATGTGGAGCAGCTCACAAATCACACCTGGTGGCCACGCTGCCCCGGCTGCCACCTTCCCCGCCTGCCCCGGTCAGCCAGTGGCCTGAGAGTAGCCCGAGCTTCTCCAGCTCCAGGGGCACAGGCCCCGTCCTGGAAGGGATGGCTGACTGTTTAAATTTTCCCACCACGACGTGACCGGCCTTGAGGGTCTGGAGCTGGCCTGGTGAACCTGCTGCAGGGGTCAGGAGACAGGGCGTCCCTGGGACGGCTCTGAGCGGGGAGCACCCAGAGCATCCTGCCCAGGCTGTGAGGGACAGGAGGCACCGGTGTTGGGGGCCCTCGAGTGGTCCTACGGGGACTAAGAGCCCCACCCCCCACACAAAGTGTACTTCCTGGTGGGCCCTGGCCTTTCTGCAGGCCCCACACAGCCAGTTGTCGGTGGTCTTTCTGGCAGGGCTGCTGCTTGGGTAGAAAATGGGAACACCGGGCAGATTCCCCTGTGCCCCCCAGCCTCTGAAGTGCCCAGATGGAGGTAGGCTCCTCATGGGCAAATGGCCTGAGCAGGGAAGAGGAACCCCAGATGGATGGGGGCAGGATCCTGCGTCTTGCCCACCTCCTCTCCTGGCCGTTCGTGACTCTGCAGAAGTCCCCAGCCAGTTCCATGCTCACTATCAGGCCTGCCCCAACTCAGATGGGCCCTGGGGAGGCCCCTGTGGCCTCCAGCAGCCCTTGAGCACCTCCCTGGGCTGACGGCATTAAGAGCCCTTTGTAAGAACACTGACAGCCTGGGGGCCAGAGGCTGCCCGCACCCTGCAGAGCTAAGTGCATCCTCCCTGGGCAAGACCAGGGCGCCTCGGCAGCTCCCAGCAGGCAGGTGTGGTCCTTGGTAGCTCACAGAGTCCTGTGTGGCTCCTCGTCAAGGATATAGGGAGACTCAGAAGCTGTTCCCTGAGTGTCAGCTTAAAGCTCCCCCCTCCGCCAATTATAGAGCTATGGGGGTCCCGGTGCCTGAAGAAAAGCATGTGGCAGAGTCCGCAGCCATCCAGCAGGGTGGGAGCCGCAGCTCTACGGGCAGCACCTGTGGGCCGGGCGCACCACCCCCCTCCATCGAGAGGCAGAGGACAGTGAGTGAGGGCCCAAGGTCAGGTTACCTTCAGGAGGGACTGGCCAGGAGCCAGGGGCACCAGTTAGACAGGACAGGGAGAGAGTTTGGAGTAGAAGACCTCGGTGGAGACACTGCCCAGCTTCATGGCCCTACAGGCCCCTCATGGGACCAAGGAGAGCATTTTGGTAGCAACATTCGTCTTTGGCTGTGCAGTGGAAGTGACTTTGGCAGAAGCGCCCTGTCCCGCCCTCCCTGGTGTGTGGGAAAGGAATTCAAGGGTGTGTGTCCCTCACACTTAGAAAGGTCTGGACTGTTTAATTAGGAGGTGGCTTGTGGATGTGAGAGGTCCAGGGGCCCTGCAGGTAGCACTTTGGATGACCTTCAGGTGACTTTGTTCTTGGCTACTCTGATACAAGTTTCTATTTGCTTTTTTTTTTTAAAAGAAATGGCCCATATCACGATGTCCGTGTGGTGCCAGGCCCGGTGCAGGCTGCGCCGCTGCCTGCCGCTGCCTGTTGACTTTGCGGCGTGTTTATCCCTGGTGTGTGTGTACGTGAGGGAACGCGCTCTCCCCACGGCGCACCTCCCGTTTCTGCGGAGGGTTTTGTTCCACGGTGGCCACCTGACAGATGCCCCTCCTGCTGGTGCTTGGAAATATTTACTCTCCCCCCGATGCCCTCAAACGGTGCTCCCCGCACACCCGGCAGGATCTCGCCCGACCTTGTTTTCCTTGTGCATTCGGGCACCGATTCCCTGGCTTTGGGGCCACCTTTGGGTTTTGTCACTTCCATGAGATGGGGCAGGGGGCAGCCGTGTGCGTTGGTGCCTTCGGGAGCTGACATTGGAACTGGGCAGGAAGCCACCACCTCCTCTGTGAAGGACAGAGAGGAGGAAGCAAGGGGTGGAAATTAGGCGGCAGCCACAACTGCCTGAAATGAGCGATGTCCGTCAGTCAAGGTTTCTCCCCACCTCCAGCCACCTCAGCTGGGGACTTGGGGCAGAAAAAGTGACATCGTCCCCTAAGCCACCTTCCCAGAATTTTCCACGCGTCCCGAAAGAGCTGATTGCCGTTTCCCTTTGGGTTTTTGCCTTCCCCAAGGTGGCCCTGGCGGGAGAAGTGACTTGTGGGTGCCCCTTTCTCTGAAGACTTCTTCCTCTTGCCGACTGCCTGGCCTGTCTTCTGAGTGCCGTGAACAGGGGCCTGAGACAGGACAGGAGCACCAGGCTTCAGGGCTGGGATCCCTCTGTCGTTCCAGACACGAGACGCACCTTCTGCTGAGCCCCCTTCCCAAGCCACTCACACCAACCAGGCGGCCCTGCTAGCCCTTTTCCCTCCACGCCTCTGCAGTGAGCTCGATCAGAGCAGGCCTGGGTCACAGAAAAACAGGGGTGCCAGCGTCACGCCAGTGGGATCCCAGGTCAGGCCTGGGACGGCCCATGCGTGTGTGTTATCTCTGATGGTCCTGAATTTCGTGTGTATAATTGTTCACTTTCACACTGGTAATTAAGTGTTATGAATCAGAGTGATTTGATTTTACTGTAATGTCCGCAGTATCTATTTACTGAAAAAGAACAAGTAATGACATTTTAGCAAAGATAACAAACAAAATCTGAGAAGGATCGGTGTCACTTTGGCCTCCCTATGTGGTGGCCAGGAACGTGGTGTTGTGGCCACTCTGAGCTCAGAAGCGGGGTTCCCCTGGAGGAGAAGGGATCTGGGAGTGGCGTGAGCAAAGGGATCTCGCTGGGTAGCAGCCCCTGCAGGAACAGGGTGTGCGTCTCTCAAAGGACAGGTTTGAAATAACAGTAATGTGGATTATTCTTACTGTCATTTTGGGACACCGTGGAAACCATTTTCTTTCTACTCTGAGAACAAAATTCTTGTTCTAGACAATTCAGTTGAAATAAAATAAAATGAGAAGGTTGATTTTCCTTTCTCTTTTTATCACAAGAGACACGCTGCCAGGCAACACTGGGCTTTGGGATGACTGGGGAGGGTCGGGGCCCTTCTCTCCCTGACGCAGGGCTGACGTAGATGACAGCACGACTCCCTGGGGATGAGGGACGGGGCAGGGAGCACGTGAGGCACCCACGAGCTTTGGGTTCAAGGCTGTGGGGCAGCCTGACTTCAAGCGGGAGCTTTCCGTTAGCAAAGCAGGAATGAGGGTAGGGGTTGGGAGCTGACTTTCCTCCGGCCTCGGTCGCTGGTTCGAAGCCTGCACTCCTTCCGCACCAAGGCTGACGCTGGTTGGGGAGAGCTGCCCCCTCCTCTCTCCCTCCTATGTATTAGGAATAGTCACTGACTAAACCCGCTTTGTTCCTGGGTGCTGTGGGGCACCCTGAGATGTGCCCTGAGTCAGATGCCCCACCTCCGACCTGGGGGTTCACCTTGTGCATGGCTGTGTGTGTACCCCAGGCGTGTGGAAAGGGCCCCCTGAGCTTCGTCTCAGGGAGGGGGTTTGTCAGGAAGGGCACCCAAAATGCCTGGCCTCCTCCATCTGGACACAGCCGGGTTCAGTCTCCTCCCCAATATCACACCCCGCTTACTGCCACCGGAGCCCACCTGCCTGGAGGAAATCACCCGTGAGGGCATTTGATCGCCCCAGGGTCTGCAAAAACAGTGGTTTTGATCATTTGTTGAGTAAATCATGACATTTATCATCGTGCTGTTTGTTTTGCTAATTAAGAGGTGGCTGCCCAGTGGCAGCCCAGAGGGAGAAGGCAGTGGGTGAGGTGCTGGGTGAGGCCACCTGCCCCCAGCTGGGCCTTCAGCTGTGTGCCCAGGGCCCTGAGGCTCGGGGCCTGCTGGGGCGGGATCCTGTAGGACCCCCAGGGGAGGCAGTGGGGGCATTTTTCTCAGTGCGTCGGCCACTGTCTCCCACCCAAGGTCTGCTTGTTTCTTTGTTGACTGTGTCTCCCCAGAAAGGCTCTCGACTGCATCACCAGCCCCGCCTGTAATCAGAACGCTGATGAGTAAGTGCCTCTGCCTCTGCTTAAGAGGCCAGGTGAAAAATGTTAATGTGAATTGATGGGGTTTCAATTATTTGAAGAATGTACTGAAGTGGACAACCTCACCCCCGGCGTTATTTACTGAATATTAATGTGTGTTTATTTGTTCAATCAACAAATGCTCTGTGTCTAGGCCAAGGCCTGTGGGAAGCTCCGGGGTCACAGGGGAACCAGCCCAGAGGCCTTGGGCCAAACCAATTATCTGGCACTACCATCATGGGACCCCCAAGCTGGTGCCTCCAGGGTCCCCAGAGCCCACTGAGAGTCTTTGGCAGGGCCAGGACCTGCCAGTCTCCCCTGTGGAGCAGGAGCTACACAGCAGCCAGGGATGGGTGAGAGCAAGCCCAGCCTGCACCCTCAGAAGATGAGAAATGGGCACACATGTAACATGGAATTTCATCCAAAACTTGATGAAAGCCTTGAAGAAAGGCAGGATTTGGGAGGAAGTAAAGTCCCCCTACATATGTTTGCAATACTGATGCTCTTCTGTTCCTGAGTGGGAGAAATGAGAAACACATT